TATAATGAATTGAAAATTATTTTTTTATTATAAATAATTATTTGAGTTTGAAAAAATAGTTACTAAAAACCAACACTCAAGAAAATTGAGAACACCAAAAAATAAAATATCGTATAAATATATTAACAGATATAGATTATATGTTTTTTGGCCACTGTTTAAGTTAATTTTCATCAGAAGACTCAATTTTTTTACTATGAAGAGTTGTTACTACTTAATTTTTAAATTATGTATATATCTCATTATTTTACTCATAAATTTTTTTAAATTATTGATCATCTTTTTTTTATTACTATTAAAATTTTAAGATGGGGAAATCAGATAACACAATTCAAGTTAAATAAAATATTCAACTATCAATAAATGATGTTTTAAACACAGGACTTGTTCTATATCATACTGTGTCTTGTTTTACGCAGTCAACCTCGCATATATGAATTAGATGACACGCACAAATTTATTCAACTAAGATTTTAAACTATTTAGAACAAGTTTAATATTTAATAAAGTATGTCAAACAAAATTTGGTAAGTAAATTGAAAATTTAAAATATTAGAATATATTGAATTCAAAATCATATAAACTTCAAAACGGAAAAATTTCTTAAAAATTAATTTAAATAAAAAATATACTGAGTAAATATTTCCAATCTTTTTTCTTATCTAATAATGGCTTGTTTTAAAATATCTTTAATAGATTACAATGATATTTGGTTAAAAGAAACGTGATTTTTCAGGAATTCTACTAAATTGAATAAAACAATCAAAAAATGTAAATAGTTCAACGTTATTTTAATATTTTCTATTTTTATATCACAATAATTTTCTTTTGACACATTAAACCAAATTGATTGGATTAAAAAATATACTTAAAAAAATTTGTAACTAAATAATAATCTTTAATATACTTTTTAGTTTTATGGAATTTTCACTTTTCTATAAAATATTTTACAAATAAAATCTAAATACTATTTTTTTCTAAATTATCTAATATAAAATGTTAATTCACTAACAAAAATAAGGATTATAACTTATGATATTTTAGACTTTTTTATTACTTTTGCATGACATTTATTACAGAGACAACAAACATTAATTTGTGAGGTTTTTTTTAAAAAAATTCTAATATTTTTCTTCACTAAATCTATGAAAAATTAATATACAATATAAAATACACTTACAAAAAAATTTAAAATTTTGTAAATACTTTATACATCTCAAATAAGTTATAAAGTATGAAAATTTAATAAAAAAAAAATTTACGAAAAGAAAAAAAAAACACACCTTAATTTTATCTTGATAACAATAACAAATAATTTGTTTGTGTTCTTTTTTTCCTTTGTTTGTCACTAGTTGGAAAATAATGTTATCTTTTGTTGTTTTTAAGGAAAGTTTCTATTAGTGATATAACAAAATGATATTTTTACAACTTTTTTTAACAACTTTTTATAATAGACTAGGTGTCACTGTTTTATTGGTCCGTATATTTGAAATGGACTAATTACAAACTACTACACAAGATATTGTAAAAAAATTGTTAAAAAAACATTTTCAAAAAAGAAATAGCAAAAACTGATTAAATCTACCTCTATAGTAAACTTCAATGTACATGAAAAAACCAACTCTACATGAAACCTAAACATAATGAAAAAGAACAAACTAAAGATCTATCCACATAGTGTTTGTTTTGTGCTTTTAGTTAGTATTTAAAATGTCCAACTCAACTCAAAAAGCTCTATCCAAATTTCTCATTCAATCCACAAAGCCGAACTCAACCTCAACCATTGTTTGCCCTCACCTTATCCCTTTATTAATTCATTTTTCTTTCACAGTACTACCAAAATGTTCCATTGCTATTGTAACTAACAAACTCTATCAGATAAGATCATCGCAGAAACAACCACAAACGACAAGCCCCATTCATTCTACTACGCTCAAATCCCCTGCAACCAAAATATCATCAGTTCAACAAACCACAGAACAAGAACCTTTGAAAATATCACTGATGTCACTCCTCCAACTCCAATTCACTTCTCAAGCATTGCGTCCTTCTTCCCACAACTTCAGGCCCAAAAACATACCGCTTTATGCCTCCAAGCGTGTTTCCTTTGTAAGAACCAAAATCAGAGCTGTCAGCACAGTCCCTGAGAAGGACTCAGGCTCAGACACAGACACAGTATTAGACATCGATGACCCCAACAAGCCACCTTATGTTGGCTTTGTATTTGTCAGTGTAAGTACTTCAACAACTTCGATGATGCTACATTAATTTTTCTAAATTAATCTCACTGATGATTTTGGTGCTCTCTTCTGGGTTGGTTTGGTTAGTCTGTGCTGCTGCCAGATGGAACGCCAGACGTGCACTTTCGTTCTGCTTGTGGCGGCCAGACGCTTAGGAAGATAATGATGGATTCCAACATCGAGCTCTATGGACCCTATGTAATACCCTCAGCAATTTCAAACCAAACAGTTTCTTTTATCAAACAGTTTCATGTTAACAGCGTTCCTGTTTTCCAGCTTACAAAACAAACTTTGTTTGCTCTTTGCAATAGTTTGATCTGAATACCTATTTTATTGTGTGAATATGCTTTTGGTAATTAACTTGTTACCTTTCCCAGGCCAGAGCTCTGTTAAATTGTTCAGGAGGTGGAACTTGTGGCACATGTATGGTGGAGGTGAGCTATATAATGATAACCTTAAACTCTTCTATTTCATGTTTGGTATGAACTGTTCTAGAAAACTTCTCCTAAAACTGTTTTTACGAACAGAATTTCATCGAAAATATGAGAATCCAAAATGCATTCATAACATTCTTACTAACTATGATTTCCAGGTTCTTAAGAAATTTAATTCCTAACAATACCTTTTACTGAACAACATCTCAGAATAAACAACAATGGATACTTTTCCCGTGAAATTGAGTCGATAATCTGTAATTACATGGTAATATAGTTAGAAGACGATCGAATAATGTACACTGCTAATTCTACTTTGCATTCCTCAGGTTCTTGAAGGTCAGGAGCTTCTAAACCCTCGCACTGATAAAGAGAAAAAGTTACTGAAGAAGGTAATATAGATAGTGGGATTCAGATTGAAAATTTGTTTGTGGCATTTAAGAAGAAAGTTAAGGTTGTCATGTGTGTTCTTTCTCCTTTTACCAGAAACCAAAGAACTGGAGATTAGCATGTCAAACAGTTGTTGGTGAACCAGACACGAGAGGAGGGGTTCGTGATTTATGTTACTGTTACTTCTTTATGCGATCGTAATTTATTTTTATATATAAGTAAAACATTAATTTATATATCTAAAGAACAGATTAAGAATGTGTCATATATAATTTATTTTTTTATGCATTCTCCTTTATATTTAATGTATATTAAAAAATAATAAATGATCATGTACATGTGGATTTTTATATTTAGTATTTATTATATTTTTAATTAGTTTTGATTTGATGCAGCTTGTGATTCAACAACTGCCTGAGTGGAAAGGGCATGAATGGAGATACACAAAGCGTGGGGAGCCCAGCTGGGATTCAGAGGAGTCTCTGTGAAGCCCAAAACCAAATAATAATAATAATAATAATATAAGTTCAATTCTTCCTAGTTATATATGCCGTGCATTTTAGTTTTGCTTTATCTTATTTTTTCACATAATCAACAAAATCTTGAAAACCTGCAATTACCACCTCTAAATATTTTTTTTACAATAATAACATGATAATTAAATTATTTTAAAGTTTAATTCATAAAAAGTTAATTATAGTTTTTTTTTCATAAATATTATTTTAGATAATTAGTTTATAAATTAATATTTAAATTTTACAATAGAACGTGAGAGCAGTTTTCCTCCTTCTTAGGAATTGAACGTGAGAACAGCAAATTGCTTTTATGTAGTGCTTTGCAACGAAAATGAAAGACTTTGCAAAGACGCTCCAACTAGTTCATATAATGTTAATCGTGCGGGTTTTTTCCAAAAATGAGCAAGTTTACACGAAAAATAGTTTTGTAATAAAATTAAAATATTATTTCACATATCTAAATTTTTTACATTCATTTAATATTATTCTTACTTATTTTATTCTCTTTTTTTTAAAAAAAATACAAAAATTTACATTCATATATGACCATGTTATCTTATTTGTATTAAATGGACGTAAAAGTGTAATGATTTAATCATAAAACTAATTACGCACTTTTCTAATTACGGGAGATATTTTGTACAGGTTTGCGTTTTTGGTTTGAGTTCGATGAAGCCAAATAATCTGGGAGATCGTCTTCAGCTTATCTTTACTTAAACACAAAATTTAAGCTTTTTTTAATATAGTTCCTCAGAATAAACATTACTGTGAAATGAAGATGACTCTCCAGAATATGTGGTTCCCTAAAAAGTACATTTGTTCAGCATCATAAAACAGGTAGAGAGCTACTCCATATTGGAATTGGAATTACAGGTTGGAGGAGTGCAATGGTGAAACTCTTGAACACTAAAGTACTACCACTTTTTGCCATCCCGGCCCTCCCTCTACCAAAATGTTTTTCATTGGTGTCACTTGTTCTTACTTCCTTGTCTTCTATTGCTTGGATTCCTTTCCTTCTAACCTTTTTAAATGTAATAATTCCCTCTTGCTGGTCCCCATTCACACCAACACCTATTGCCCACCACCCATATGCCCTTTTTCCATGTCCATCCTAAATTTGCAGCACTATGCACAGATTCTTCAATTTTCATCTTACATTTTTACCCTTCATGATAAAAGCCTAAAAGACAAACCTTTCAATTCCACTTTCTGGTACATTATAGTCAACCACAAATTACACCATTGATCATTAATAGTATAAGATGTTTCTCTTTTGTATCTGCTTTATCATTGCTCACTTTCATTTATCAAACGCTCACTAAACTTCTGCCTCACCGGTTGATGTTAATGATGGCACACTATACTGGTTAGTCCTCCTGGTTTAAAACTAAAAATTAAGCTATAAATGAGATACAACAGTGTTTTAAGAAAAACTACATCAGCAACCTCATGAATTCGTACAAGAAAACAATGACTCCAACTTTACATTAAAAGCAAAATGAAAAAGAAAAGGCTGAGATGAAAAGAAGGAAAAACAAGACTGAGTTTTCCTCCTTTATTACATAGAAACTAAACCATGATGCGATTAACAAAGGGTATTATTGAGTGAATCAAAAATCAGTGGCGAGAGGCGCATGGTGCTGGGTGGGAATGAAGGCATAGGTGTAGATAAGACCAGCCAAACCACCACCAACAAGAGGGCCAATCCAGTAGATCCAGTTGTCATGAAAGTCACCGCTGACAACTGCAGGGCCAAAGGAACGTGCAGGGTTCATGGATCCCCCAGAAAATGGTGCTGCAGCTAAGATGTTTGCACCAACGATGAAACCTATGGCAATGGGTGCAATTGTACCAAGTGAACCCTTCTTTGGGTCTGCAGCTGTAGCATACACTGTGTACACTAATCCAAATGTGATGATGATCTCAGTAACAACTCCTTCTCCGGCTCCAACTCCCGCAGCAACACCGTGGATAGGAATACTCTGACAACAGATAATGCCCACTATTACTATCTTTTTTCTAACAACAGTATCAGACTTTACTAATTTTAATTATACAGGGCAATAACACATTTACATTTAAATATAAACAAAGATATTTATTTAGTTTCACATTGATTAGGAGTATAGTAAGATGCATGAATGAGAATTTTACCATGTTTGTGACAGTGACACAATTGAAATCTTATATGGATGGGTTGAGTTTGAACTTACATAGCCAGTGACAAACTTGAGGAGAAAGCAGGCCACTATGGAGCCAAGGAGCTGAGCAATCCAGTAGAAGAGACCAGTGAGGATGGTGATGTGACCTCCAAGAGCCAACCCAAAGGTCACAGCAGGGTTAACATGGCCACCAGAAATGTTGGCTCCGACTGAAACAGCAACGAAGAGAGCAAAACCATGGCCAATGGCAACAGCCACCAACCCAGCAGGATCAAGAGCTGCATCTGATGTCAACTTAGCTGCAAAAGATTTGGTACAAGTCAGGTTCAAGTTGAAATTATGGAAACAACGTTTTTCAGGAGTTTGGTTATCCAAAATTTCTGCATGTATACGTACATAGTTCAAAACACTTCGTTTTAAGAGTTGTTTTTTGCAATGTTAGATCTAATAAAGTGTTGTGCTAGTTGAATTAATGTATAAAGAAATGGCATTGCGAATATAGAGGTGTGAGGTTTGTAAATTGTCCATTAAAACAGAAAAACTGACCATAGGCTATGGCTGAACCGACACCGGCAAAAACAAAGAGAAGGGTTG